TGGTGCGATATGCTAGAAGGGGATATTTGACGAAGTAACTATTTAATAATTACGTAATTTATTGCACCTTCCTTTCGTATGCAGGTGCATGAAGAAGAGATTAGTAGGTTGATCTCGCCAGAAGACGACGGCTGAATATCGCTGCATTGCAGCAGTTTGGCTTCCATACGAGGTTCAGATTGACGCAGTCCTTGAGACATCCTCCTTCTCTTCGGGAGAAAACGGGTTGAGTCTTCTTTCATCAGATGATAGGTATCATCAGAGCTGGAACTCATTCTTGTAAAAGTAACACGTTAACACTTAATCAAGAAGACTATCAAGCTCTTATATATTCTCATAATCAAAAACGAAAATGACCAGGCAGTTAGATATAAGATGGTTTGGCTAATTACTTGTCATATAGCTCCTGCTTGTTTTGCTCAGGTATGTATGTGTGCGTGTATGCCAACGTCTATCAGCAAACCGGTCCTAAATCAGATTGATCAAAAAAGGCTAATGTCAGGCTCTGGTCATCAAGGCTTGATCAAATAAAAAGGCCTAATCGAGACTGTGTAAGTCCGTAAGTAAATATGGTTGAGATAATGAGATGTATGCTTGTAAGTGTGTTAGTCAAGTTCCGAACCCACCCGTCCTAACCTCTCAGTCTAGGATCATTAAAGGTTAACCACCCAAGGAAAAGCATGACTAGGGCTGTGTAATCTCGTACGTCTGGTTTGGTTGCTAAGCCTAATCTAGCATATTGGACGAGTGTGAGTGAAGTTAGAACCATCACCGAGCAAACGAGTTAAGTCGCCTTTTTGTGGATGACGGCTCAATCCCCTCTTTCTTTTAATCTATCAATTAAGCATAAGTAGCTCTTACTTAACTTTCTACCACCGTTCGTCACATTCAACGTGTTCTCTAATCTATTAATTTCAATAGCCTCTCTTATCTTCCCTTGTACAACGGATGTAACATAATCTTCAACCTACTAGTTTGAGACGAGATAGAATGGTCTCAAACTAGTAGGTTTGCTGATTATGGCACGGCTGTTGTTAAAGGAAGATAAGAGAGGCTATTGAAATGTCACGTTGAATGGTGGAGCGGTGGTAGAAAATTGATTGAGAACTACTCGTTCACTGGAGTGAATACTATACTTTTCGTTCTTCAATAAGTGTAACTTTCTTCTATATTGGATTTTTCCCCCATTGAAGCATCCGATTTTTTGGCTTGAATGCAGGTTATTCAGCATGCAGTCTGAATAAAGTTGTTGTTGTATATGAATTACGTGGACATCGAAAAAGTATTGTATGGAGGATCCGAAATAGCTGGCCTGAGGCAGAGTGAAGCATTAAGAATTTACTGAAAAATACAAGGCTGTTATTTCGCAATGTATATTGTCAGAGCATTTGTATAGTATACTCAAAAATATTAATTTGGAAGAAATGAATTAAGGTATAATGAATTAAGAGGTCGGTTCTTGGTGTTCAGAAAGGAGGATTAGGACTTGCGCGTTAGCCTAATTCTTGACTGTCTTCGCTAAACTACATAAGAATTGCTTAATCAACGTATGCCATGTGACCGCGCCTGAGGATCATTAAAATTGGTCATTTCACCAGGCTTTTGCAAAGATATGTTCAAAACTTTGGATCTACCTGAGGCACAGCCCGGTGAGAAACAAGTTGATGAGGTCGTTATGCTTTGTTATATCTGACAATAGAAAGTGTCGTTTTATTTTATTGTCTACATCTTCGAATTGATTCGAATAAAATTTGTTTATAACCATGTATTCTCACTCTATCCTTTTCTTTCTTAAGCCTCGCCAAAAGCCAGCCCCAGGACGGCAGAACTTTCCTTGGGCTCTAAAGTCGGATCAGTCTCAGCTGAAAAGGTATGAAATATGTTTCTCTTTTACAGTAATCACAAATAAGAAAGTTGTTTAACCTTGTTATCGCAACTTGATCGTATTGTCAGGGCGAAGCACTTTGTCCGCAGTCTATAGTATCCAGGATAATGTCCAGTGTCGTGACCATTCTTAAGGCCATACAATATTGGTATTCATGCCTTTGATTGATTATACTTATGATAAGCACATGAGTCTATTAATATCAGGCTCCTGGTAGCTGATAAATGAAATTCTTACTGACGAATTAAACCATAGTTTTCCGAGTTTATTGACAAAAACATGGTCTCCTAACTTTCTGAAATTTCTTGCAGAATTGCAGAGATTTTGAAGGCTTTTTTTCCCTTAAACGTCATATTTGCTGTAAAATTTAGGTGGTGGTGAAGTGTTTACCTCTTAACCCGCATGTTAACAGTTCAACTCCCTATTGGTTTGTTGATGAGAGGAGGAGACTGCTATCAGGTCTAAATGAGAATCACCATATGTAAAGTATGGAAAAGGAAAATTCAAGTAAAAAAAATCAAAGCTCGCCTATAATTAGTTGTGGTTAGGCTCGCTAAAAGTCAAATAAAAATTTAAGCCCCTTTTCTGATACATGAGATCACCTGCAAAATTTCGTTACCACGTTAAGAGCGAGCTTTGAAGTTATTGTTGTTGTTTACAAGCTTAAAACTGGAAGGCGGCATAGGGGCAACACCTATGCTACTAGGTAATGCCCTGATTTTTTATAGCTATAATGCAGAATAACATTAGTAGTTCTGGCCTTATAGCATTCAGTTCATATAATTTCATGAAAGAATTCATCTTTTCCGACCTCGCCCGTATACGTCTTTACCAAGTCCACAAAAGATTTTAAAAGTCTGGATCCCCTAATCTAGAACTCAATATCATCAATGGTGTCTTTGAGCACTCCTACATCCTAAAACAGTTAAATAAACATTAATTTTACTAATATTTATGCCTAGGATGAAGGATATACATACTATTCTTTTACATGTTAATATTTAATTAAATATTATTTTTTGAAACGATAATAATCAGCTCTCTGAAACTATTTATAAGGAAATTAATTTGTTGTTTTATGTTGAGATTCATTACTATGTCTTTGACTTTCTTATGCCATAGTCTCTTGTGTGTCGCCCCCCAAATGCGATGGTTCTAGCTGATTTGAATAGGAACAGTAGGCCTAATCAGGGAGTGGAGCATAACGCCGCAAGAAGCATGGAAATGGTGAAAGTGATATAATGAAATCATTGAACCAGGCAGATATGAGACAGATCCTACAGAGCAAGAGAGAATCTCTAATAGGACTTGAAGTAAGAGAATTGCGAACTAAAATGCAGCCTTGGATCAACACTTCCAACACACTGAGGGGATGTGGAAACCAGAGGGGAGTGTGAATAGGTTTCATCTAGGTTTAGATAAACAAGTAAGACATTGTGGAATTGAAGAGATAATACGAGGATATAGAATAGGTGAATACCTTAAGGCAAAAGGATAGATACCACAACTGTGTATTAGACATTTCCACAGAGGAACGACTTGACTTGGCTCCTTGACGAGCTGTAGTGTGGTGCTAACAATGTCAAGGCTCATTGAAAATACCGACTACAATGCCGGAAAACGCCTGGGAATGTATCAAGTCCGCAGTCCGATTCTGGAAATGATCATACATATTATTGAGCCCGGACAAGGTGCGTTCCTCTAGGTCTTCCTGATTATATGACCAAGTTGGGAAAAAAGGGCCAAACCACTTCTATACCATGAAAGGAGACCACGATGATACAAAAGACCACACCATCTTGGTCTTCATACCTTAGGTTAAATTTGTGAAGTTTTACCT